GGGGGGGGGGGGGGGGGGGGGTGCTCTGCCAGCTCTGGTGCCGAGTTGTGTCGGTCATGTGTGCCGCCCGCCCATCAACTTGCTTCACAGTTCGCTTATCATCATGTTATTATTATAAGTAATAGCATGGCTTGAGGAAGATTAGTGATTAAATGGCCCCATAACCCGAGGCAGGTTTGCGGAATCCCCGGGGGCGAAGCCCGAGGGGATTCCGCAAACCTGCCGAGGGTAAGGGGTCATTTAATCACTAATCTCTCGAAAAGCCATGCTATTAGTGTATCTCTGTATCTCATTTTGTCTCTTAAATTACTATATCTCATTTTGTCTCTAATAATGTTTTGCTTTATCATGAAAAATAGCACCCCCCCCCCCGCACCCCCTCTGGCCAGGGCTTGGGGGTGCACCCCCCCCAGTAAATCTATCCCTGATTGCACGTGTACAAAGAAAGTGATTACTCCATTAATAATCCCTTTGTTTTTCTTTTTTTCTTTTACAGAATGAGGTAGATCCTTCCAAGTTCGCATTTCACCCTCGCTCACCCTCGTCAGTTGCCAGTAGTGGTCGTGTACGGTCCAGATTGGTTCGATCAGCATTACGAGATCATCGCGTTGTTGTAGAGACTGTGAGAACGTATGAAATGATTAGCGAGTTTAAAATGAATATCGTGATTTGGCTGCAACAACATGGTTTGGCACACAAATCTGAATTACTGACCGCTATACCTGATATTACCCTGAATAAGGTGAGTAAAATTAATACAAATTCAAAGTAAAATTGAAAATCAAACAAAGTCAGCTTCAATTTCAAACTAAATCTCAAGTTCAAATTCAATTTGGAAATTTAATTATAAATTCAGTTTCAGATTCAATTTCAAATTCAATTTCAGTGTCAACTGTCAAATTCAGTTTCAATTTCAAACACACTGTCAAACAGGTGGTTAACCACTGGTGGTTAACAGTGGTTAACCACTGGTGGTTCAATGTGCATTTGACCACTATCGACCGCTCTGTATAAGACATACAAAAACCTACGAATTAAATTGTCAATATTCATTGCTTTCTTTCACAGGAAGATGAGTTAGATGTCCTGAGTAAAATGTCTGCAATACGTGATACAACTCAACAGGTATTTAAACTAACTTCATTTATACCGGATTACTGTATCAGTTCTATAAACTGTTCTCTCTAAAGGCGGAGTATAAGGGTCATATCTTGTTTGTCCAGAAGAAGACCTTGGATCGATCTATCTTATCTAAATTGTTTAACTGTTCTCCCTAGATGTCTATAGTGAGGGCCATCTCTTATTTGTCCAGAAGAAGACCTATAAACTAAACTAAAATGTTTTGAAACAGGATAGCTCTATCTAAATTGTTTTGATTTCTAACAGAAGTCCAATAGACCCATTGCACTGACGTCACAAATCCTTAGAGTGTCCTCCAGATGCTCCCTAACAATATCTGTTCCGGTGCAACAACCACATACAGCGCAAAATTTAACCATTTTAATTTTTTTAAAATTAAATCAAAATTATTATAAACTTTTACAAAATTTGCTTTGTTTACAAAAGTTATATTATGCATAGATTACTAATTTGTCCTCCAGATGCATCGTCATGTACAATGGGTCTATACGGGGCAATTCTTTTTTATTCAGTGTCACTACAAGAAATAATTGAGTAGGTATGGAAAGAATGTCGCATGCGATAGAGTCCAACTGGAAGGATTCTTCTCACATGCGAGTGATGCGACTGACTTGAAGTTATAAGCAGACACATGCATATTGCATGAATGGGAACCCTGCACCTACATAGATGAAAGACACATGTATTCACCACTGGGCCATCCTAAGGCACTTCAACAATATGTTTTATTCGTTTTCTAGATACTTGATGCATTGTGGCAAGTAACAAAAGATGACTACTCCTGGTCACAGCATGACCTTGTGGATGGCAAAGAAGAGCAAGAAGAGAACTCGAAGGATAATAATATACGTCCAGATGATATTGGGATAGAAATGGATACTAAAAAGGATGATGGATTGTCATCTTCACCGGTTGCTAGGCAACATGGCGATAACGATGACGAAGAAGTAAATGTCCAATCACAGGAGCACAACTTGCAAGGTAAGATCTTTGGAATATATCACTGGAAATTTTTTTCAAAATCTTCACTATGGAAATAGCATGGAACTTCGTTGAAAATATTATGGAAATCCAATTTTCATACGAATTGCAATTTCCATATACTATGGATATAGTATGGAAATAGCATGGATATACTACGGATTTAGTGATGTAATCGCAAATTCCATAGTATAAATTTCACTATTTTCCCCCAGTGTATCGGAAAGTAGTAGTTCACGAATATTGTTTTGAACAAGTTGTGGATTTGGTAAAGAATAACGTCTTTGCCTGAATTAAGTATGATTGATCATGTACAGTACATGGCAAGTGATCAGCAGGACGAACCAATGTAAATATTGAAAAGCTGGCCGACCATTATTAGCCAATGTTCGAGCAACTGCACACTTGAGCGGACATTCGTCAGACCCAAGCGAAATTGTTTTAATCCACATTGACTGTATAGCTGATGTTTTGCCGTTACGTTACGCGGCAGAAGTGTCAAATATGTTTTCTGCTGAATTTAGACTATCATTTTAAACCATACTGTACATATCTTAACTTTGCGATCCGTGTCCGCGCGCGCTCCATACTCGCTAAAAACTTTATTTAAGTCTATTTGGAAAGTCTATAAACCCAGCGAAAATCTGGCTCTGATTGGTTGTTTGGTAATTGTTCGTACTATGCAGTTTAATATAAAGTTTATTTATCTTTGTGTATCATGTTTAAACGTATCAATGTTATACACACAGCATAATTTTAATAAACTATCAAGTTATTTCCTTCGCTTCTCGTATGAAATCAATAGACTATTCTGATGTTAATATGCCAATAACAAAACTGTAGAATAACAACAGTGTAACATTACCATGTAAGGTCAGAGTAGTTCCAACTAAATTTATCAATCTGATTGGCTGGCTGAAATTTTACAGCGAATCAGAGAGCTTTATTTTATGCCGGGCGCCGTCATCCCGCATAGTTTTCACAAAATTGAGTTACGAATTTGATGAATTTTCGCAAAATTAACTCGTTTTAATGTGATGAGAGAACAAAAAAAACACATTGTAGAAGTGTTAAAGTTGTGTCTTACCATAGTACGTGAGTTAGCTTTTTTAAATGAATTTCGATATGTTTATGTACGAGTTTTTTTTTTGTCATTTAGTTTTTGTATACAGTTTTGAATTTGTATTTTCTTGCCAACCTTGGGGATATATTATACATAATGATGCAACGCTATTCATTGTATACTCGCGTGTGTTATTCGCTATATGCCTATACACGTGACCAGCCTCCACCAGGGCCTCTGCTGGAGCGTGTTTGGGAGGGAAGCGGAAGTAGAGAAGCCTAGCTTGCGAGGTTGATGTATTAATACATTTTCTTATTAATTATAAGTTCTTTGTAGGATTGCATGGCGATAAAACATATAATAATTTTTTGTTTGTGGAAAAACCACGTAAATTTTTTACTGCAACCTTTGTCCCATTTTATACGATGGTCGTAAGTCCAAGTATGTTTAGCCACAGCAGATTTATGCATTTATCTAGCTCGGCTTTCTCGCAATTTGTATTATGGTCCTTTTAAGGAACGTAAGTCTTAGAAGACGTATTGAGACGTATAGTCTTAAAAGACGTATTGAGAGATTTTGACCAGTTTCGCCAATGTAAACCAGACCGCATTCACAAGGAATGCGGTACACACCAGGTTTCTGAGATTCGCATTCACGATGTCCCTATGTGTGCAAAGAGCTCGAAACAATTTTTTTCACTGGAATCGTATACCTTTATACCTGCTTCTTTCTTCAAAATTCTCGCGATTTTATGTGAAGCCTGACCAATGTATGGTAGACAAACATGCAGAGGACTGATATTCAATCTTCTGCTGCATACTTTGTGGTGTTTTCATAGCATTATCCTTGAAATGCCGGGGATAACCATTCATTTTTAGAACATTTCTTAAATGTTTCAGCAACACGGAATTCATTATTAAGAAAGGACGCAAAAGAATCTATTATCTTAAAGTTCTAAAGAAATACGGCGCACTAGCACATGCATGATACAATTTTATTGCAGTGCATGTGATTAGATCGTCATTAGAGTATGGCGATGTATTGTGGCACCGGTAGTCTAGCCAATGCGCAAAGTGTGGACTTAGAAAGGATACAAAAAAGAGCACTTAGGATAATTTGCCCTAAGATGGACTATACCTAATGAATCTCTGGCACACTTTCCGGATGTCTATACTTTTAAAAGAAAGACGTGAAAAGAAAGGACATAGACTTTATTATCTCCTTCCAGCAAAGGTTGGAGAACTAAGACAGAAAGTTACTAGATCTAATGATGACAAAATACTATAATTATAATTATAATATAGTCGTCATTCACCGTATATGAGCTGTTCTGCAATCTGATTGGTTGAATTACTCGTCGTATATCAGCTCATATACGGCGAGTAGCGAAAAACAAGATGGCGGTCCAAAAACTACGAAGCAGAAAAAAAGAAAACATTCGCTTTGATAAAGATAATAGTGCAAGGAAAAACTCTCAAAAAAAATTGACAGGTTAGCAAAATACATTTATTACATAGAAATTAGTTTAAGTACAAGTTTTGTAAAGAATTAATACCGAAACAACAGCGAAAAAACATGTTCATGGAGAATATAAATTGTTCAGAAAAGTTTGCAAATGACAAGCGAATTTGCAGTCAAGAAGCATTTACTATACTGTCTACCAAACATCTGTATAATGTAGCTGAGCTTTTTTATGAGATATACCGGTTCTAAAACCATTTCTTTCACTTCGTCTTCGAGTAGTTTAAAACAAAAATATTTCAAATTTTCAAGGCCAAGCAGTTTTTGGCCGAACAAATTGTCAAGACATTTACACAGAGGATAATTAATTATTGCTTCAGTTAGTGGCTCTCGTCGTATATGGCTGATAGCCGACTCGTCGGCTATCAGCTCATATACGACTCGAGCTCATGGTATAATTGTTAAATATCGGACAGAACGTTTTAGGAAGAGTCCATTAGTCTACGCTATAAACAGTTATAATAATAGTTTTTAAATACCGATAGGTTCAAGGTTTTAATTGTTAATTGTAAACATATTTAAGTATTTATAGTCTTTAATAATCTAATTCTTGTAAATACATTTTAATTAAGGACTCCTTCTTTATGTATCTTTTTAAAAATCCAGTGATAATAATGTATAATTATACTTGAACAGTCTATGTCTATGAATTGAAAGGTTGAACTTTCTATATCTCTCACGCACAATATCAATACATTTATATTACAGCAGTCTTTTGTTAATATTCCAGGGATGCATCCCTGGCTTAGAGAGGAGGCACTGTCTCTAACACGTTTAATTTATTAATACATGCACTAGAGAGTTCAAAGCTTTAGGAAAGAATAAGCCATTACTGCACCAGCTGCAGCTATGAATGTAAACAGCCTCGTCCATTTCCGTCCATTGACAAGAAATCGACTTGGTAATGAACCTATCCATTTATCCAAATTGTCTTGTGGTATTTTTATATATTCGTCGTCTACGTCGAGAAGCATCTCTCTTGCAAACGTGAAACAGTTATGGCCACTCGAAGTCCCCAAACTCGCCGCCAACGCACTTTTGCCCAATGGATTATATTGAGGAGGGTTCTTTTGCTGCGCTTTGATTTTCTGCATCAGCTTTTCAGCAGTAGGTTGGGGAATGTGCCATGTTTGATGTATCAAACGAGTGCGTTTCCGAATTCTCAGCATCCTTCGAGGACATCGAAACAACAGCTTTCCAGATGAACCAACCGCTCCTTCCGACTTATATTTATATATTCTCACTTTGCCGTCTCTCATTCCATCAGGAGATAAATCCATGTTATTTGCGACAAAGTCAGCGAACCATATAATCGACTTGTTACCTATTTTTCCTTCCAGAACGATGAAAGCGTGTTGATTATTGCATGTGTCAGGCAGTCGCACCAAGGAAACAGCCCAATATTCATCCGTGATAATTCGATTCTGGTCTACTTCACTGCGTCTGGCGGCCTGTGACTGTGTGACTTTACACAGTTTCTTTTTTATTTCGTCTATGCATCCAGTGTCAAAATCGTATAAATAATAGTTCTCCAGTTGTTTCAGCTCGTCATTAATATCTATTTCTAGATTTTCGGCTGATTGTTTTACTGATTTAACACCAGTTGACACTTCTAAGATATTTTTACGTAATTTTTCGACCGCTGTTGCAGTAGAATACAGATCTATCATGTTCTTGGGTTTGTTCTCAATTATGGATTTTTCGACCTTATCAATTTGTTTGAAAAAAAATTCGGCTTTCTGCTTACTGTCCATACTTTGTTCGAGCGGTGGTTCTGGCAAATCTATGTTGAACTTGGATGCTAATCGTTTGTACTCCCTGTATGTGGTTGTTCCGTCTTGGTACTCGCGCAAAACTGTGATGCTCTCGTCATTTACCATCCCCTCCAATTTATTTCTTTGACGACCAAGGTCATACACATCTTCATGTTCTGTTTGCTTCGCTGCTTCTGCATCCATGTTTTGTTGCGCGCTATAAGTTCTTTGTGTTGCCACTGTTCGCCAGGCTGGAAATTTGGCCAGTTTTCGACAAATTCTTGCTGGTGTGCTGGGAATGCAGAGCAATTTGCAGAAGTACATCACGAGGCAGTTAAAGGTATCAAACCGACAATATAGATGTTAGTGGGTGTATGGGAAGTGGAGATTTGAAATCATCCTGCTCGTTAAAAAGGGGGCTTGTCTCCGTCCGCTATGATTCCAAAGACAGTTGTTTTCTGATTGGTGGAATTTATCGTTGTTAGGTGCACCCCATTGATTGTATAGAAATTATTCTTATCTTTAAAACTGTTCATTATTGATTTTTACCTGGAATCCATATTATTAGCATTCCTGAAAGCAAACCGTGACAGTTGCCAAGGTCTTTTCCCGCACACAACCTTGTTATTCCTGTTGTGCTTGAACGCAAGACGCTCTAAACCTCTACGGGAGAATTATTTGCCATGGCGTTGATTAGAGACAACGAATTTCAGAACTAATTCTTGGGTTTCATATGACGTCTGAGAAGTGCAAATAACTTTAAAACAAAACAGCGTAACCAGAGTGAGTCGATTGTTCGTTTTATGTATTAGCCTTGTGTTTGGTGGCGAATACATTGGAATTTCGTATCATTGTCTCACTCCAATACAGCGTAAGCATCAATATATATTTGATGTTGATCCTCCCCCGTCAGATTCACTGCATAATGCCGAAGTGAAACCCAATAATTCACAACAGAATAATTAATTGAAATAACAATATATGGAATTATGAAAACTTAAGCAGTGAAAACTGAAAAGAAAGCAACAATTAACAACAATTTAATTCTGTAAACTTTCTGCTTAAGGGATTAAGGACAGCCCCTCTAGGATTTTATTTGATTCATGTCGCAACTATAAATGTTGTGTTATTGCGATATACATGCAGTATATACTATTTATGTCCCGAAAAAATGCAATAGGTAAATGGGCATAAAAAATTTAATCTAAGAGATGAAATTTTGACACTTCGTGCAATTACTGAAACTGAAGAACAATGTTTTAATAATTGAAGTGTCAAGTGAAATAGATCCAACTCAATTTATCACGAAAGACTATATTGGACTATTTTTTTGGTTCGACTGCCTGATGCACTTAAGTACTGATGAGCACGCATTTCTGGTTCTTGAAGAAAGCAACACGTCGATGATATGGTTCGTCGACTTTGTTGCAAAGACGCAAACGACACAATTTGATTTAGTTCTTGCTGGAATGAGAGACGGTAAAGTAAGAATTTATAATAATGAATTGATCGGTTCGTGTAGCAAGCTTCTGTTTACATGTCCCTAGACAGATGGTGCAAATTCGAAGTGGCGATTGTTTACTGTATTCAACGTGGCCAATCTTCAAACCCACTGCTCAAATGCTGATAAAGAATATAGAAAAGCAGAAAGAAAAGCCTCTTAAATATAATATATTGGGCAATAGTGCGTCGGCGGCAAGTTCAGCGGCCTCAAGTAGGAAGCCTACCGGCCATAATTGTTTCAGGTTTGCAAGAGAGATGCTACCCTGGATTCCAGAGCCTTCGACAGTAAATAATAAATTGAAACGCCGCGAAGGTTCTGGTTCAACGGGGAGATTCTTTGATTAAACCGCACCAATCACAAAACAGAATTAGTGGTTTTAGTACAGAATCTGTACTAAAAGCTCACCTAAAAGAGCTCCACTCAAAGCATGTTTCAAAGACTGCTTGTCACGGGCCTGATCTAGTAGCGGTCTATACAAGATATGGAAATATGTATACTCCCATTGTAAACAATGTCTGGAAACGTAAAATTAAAATATTTAATTCCGTTGACGTTGTACCATATGATGGATTTCATTTTGTTTAAGGTATATTACAGCAAGTCCCTTAGTTTTAATGTTCCAGGGCTGCATCTAAGCTATTGGTCTAATTTATAAATTAGACCAATATAGCTTATATGCGGCCCATTGCAGCCCTGCCATTAGGAATAAGCTTTAGAAATAAGAAAGCAGCTACTGCACCATGAAGCCAGGAATATAAACAGCCCGAACTGTAACGTATCCGAATAGAATAAACAGCAATGGCATGCAAACTGTTGGCAAGTTGCCTGCAAAAATAAAAGTTGCTCACTTAAAATTCCGCTGTTAAGTGCACCCCACTGATTGTATAGAAATTATTTTTATATTTAAAACAGTTCATTATTGTCTTAAATTGATTCTTGGAAGGAATTGGAAGCCAAGTTATTAGCATTCCTGAAAACAAACCGTAACAGGTGCCAAGGTCTTCTTCCCACATGGTTTGTTATTAATGTTGTGCTTGAACGTAAGACACACTCTAATTTAAACCTCTGCGGGAGACGCGACGATTAGAGATGACGAATTTCAGAACTTTTGATGCAACAATTTCATTTCCTAAAACATGCAGCGTAAGGGTAGATTTCCGCTCAATCTTACAGATAAATATTTCGCTTGATTTCTTTTCAATTGTGACCATCCGAATAAATCAGTTCAACTTGGTCACTCACAGTTCAAAAAAAAATTGAGCGAAAAATTTCGACAGCGAAATTTTTCTTGCAAGTGGAAATTCAGGACGCGATTCGACAACGCGACGCGATTTTTCGATTTTCATTGAACGATAACTTTGATCCTAGTTTACATTTTCCAAATATTTAGAAGCGCTATAAAATTTTGAGTTATTTGGTCTACATACCTTTCAAAATTTGCTCTCATTGCTGTTTTATTAACTTTCAAAAACTAAAAAAATGCGTCGCGTTGTCGATTCTCGTCCGGTGTGTCTGGACCTTAAGGATTATGGCGTAATTACGAGTTTGAAGTGGTGGCTTCAGAATTTGAAGTGCATGGTGGCTTCAAGACGAACTATGGCTTCGACCAACACTCAATTAGATGGTTATTGGCAATAGTCTCTATTTGGGGGGGGGGGGGGGGGGGGGGG